TTATTTAATTACACGGCGTTGTTTTCCATCATCCCTCTTCAGCCAAGGAAACGAAATCATCCATCTGGCAAACAAAACCCATTTCGTTTCTCATGGCAATTTCCTTCTGCGTTTGTGCTACTCCTCGCTGGACCAACTCAAGTATTCCTTCAGGTACCTTTTGCTAGAATTTAAACAATTAATCCTACTTCATTTTCTACAACATTTCATTAATCTTAATCTTATTTTGATTGAAATTTTCAGTTAAACAATGCAAATTCGTTGGTCAATCTGTGGTAACCCATCTGTCCACGCATCCTTCCATGTTTTTTAGCTGAATTCTTGTTTGGTTTTGAATTTTTGACAAAAGTAATCAGCTTTTCTTTATGTGGGTAGAGAGCATTGCCAATTCGGATCATAACGGTGATAAGCTCAGAAACTACTGTCCTGTTGATGATGTTCTAATTCACTCTAACCCCAAAAATTCACGGTGCTTTCATTCCCCTTTTCTGTAATTTTATGCCATTAATCTATTTTTCTAGTTTCAAACTTAATTTAGACGAGTTTATGCTGGTTTTGTTTATGTAGAGATGTGAAGGCCCAGGTTGATGATGAAGATATGGCTGTCATGAACCATATCAGCTCTGATGACTAGGTACTCGTCTGGAAAACCCTCCATAGTTTTACTTTTACTTTGTTTTTTATTAGTATCATTATTGATTTGGTTTATGGAGGTTTGGAGACAGTTCTTGTTGGGATTTATCCTTGTTTTGGGATCTTGTGTTTATAGGTTGTGATGTTGGATGAGCATGGATTGGACATAGGGTCTGAGAAGTTTGCTGAATTAGTAGGAGATGCAGGGAGTAATGTAAGGAACTACAACTCACTAAAAGGTTGCTGACATTGATGTATTAATTTATCCATGGAATTGGATTGTTCTTGGTATCAATATTTCTCTGTTCTGTGGCAAGAATTATATATAGCAATGAACTTGCTGCTCTGTTTCAAATGGTTGCTGCCTTGTTGGGCCCTAAAAATACTCCGAGTTTCCATATTGTAATTGTGGATGCATGTTTTATGTCTTATCTTAATATATCAAAGATGAAACTCATCGCCAAATATGAACAATTCAATTTCCAATATTTCATCTATGATTTGGTGGAGAAAATAAAATTATCTGATTGAAATTAATTTGGATTTGTTCTTTAGGTAAGCTTTAATTAATCAAGAAAATTCGGTGCTAGTGATCAATAGATTGAAATCAATTTGAATTTGTTACTCTTAAAATTTTTTTATTTTTCTTTATTCTTTCCCTTCCTCCACATTTCTCTTTGTTAAAGAAAAAAAAAAGAAAAAATATTCCACATTTTCCTTTGTAAAACACAAAAAGAAGAAGAAGAAGATCCAGAGAAGATATTCTATGAGGCATTGTGTTTCCCAGCTCTGATATTATTTGATTGAATGATGCCTTTGTTTGTATGGACTTCTAATTGGATCCAATAATTACTTGTAGTCTTTAGAAACATTGGATCCATTTTGTTGAATTCAGCCGTCAGTTAGTGTAGACCAGAAGCAGCCTGTTTTAGCATTCTAGAAACATTGGATCTATTTTGTTGAATTCAACTGTCAGTTAGTGTAGACCAGAAGCAGCCTGTTTTAGCATTCTAGAA